GCCTTATTCTGCATGACCATATTTTAGATCCCTTAACTCTACCCAGTACCTAAACAACTACCTTACTTTGTCAATAAGCAGCAAATTAGGAGTATATTGAGGGAAAACTCAGTGTTCCCTAATCTAAAATGTTACCGACTATTAAATAGCTTAATGATCAAATAGATATATGGATGTTTGAAGTAGTACAATTTTCTAATAAAACATTTGCATATTTGCACATCAGTAGATGATCATATCTTCATCTAGGCTACTAATATTCCTTATTGTAGGATGAGTATATTAAATAGCTAAATAAATAAACATGGTACATCAATCAAAATAAATAAAAGGCTGGAACATTCTGCCTTTGGCATTTTACACTCTCAGAAAAAAAGTGTACGTTTTGAAAAGGTATTGTCCCAGTGACAGCTTTCCTCCCTTTATTTCTGAGAATATACAGAAGAAACATTTCTACAGAAGAAAGCATTTCTTTCTAAACAAATTTAAACCAATTTGACCATTGCCTATACTTCAAGCATAACATTTCATTAAGATCAACACACAAAAAAAGATCAAATCAGACAACACTCACGGAGCAGGGGCGAGTGCTCTGGACAGCTCTCTTTGGCAGCCTGCTCTTCTACACGCTCCTCTATGCTCTGCATCATCTCTGATTCCAGCTCCAGCTTAGCAAACCCCTCGACACTCTTATCTTCAGGAGGATTTGATCCCTCCTGGACAGGCTCAACTGTGTCATCATTTGACAGTGTTGCTATCCACGCTACAACGCAAAGACACAACAGTAGAAGAAACAGACACTTCCCCTTCCGTATGAACTTGGACATGGCTGGAAAGAGGCCCATGAGTGAAGTTTAGTTTGAGGTGAAATCCAGAAAACAGCAAGCAGGAGACATCTGAGCATCTGCTGGAAGATAAACAAGCACTCAAAGTTGACAAGAGTTCCTCCAAAAGTCTCTTTCATCTGTTTTTTCATTCATTGTTCACTTGAGGGGAATGCATCAGCTGAAGTAACTTGTGAGAAGTCTTTTACGAAAAAGCTGAAACACAAAAAGAAAAACGGTATTAGGGTGATATGACATGTTAAATTTGGCATTGTCAAATTTCTTGGCCACATATTAATTGAAAGAGTACATGGATTATTGGTATTTGCATACATGCATTTGTCACACTGCAGTGCTATTGAAGTGAACAGCAAAAACCCTAAATAGTT